GGGAAACTAGGGGAAAAAAAATATGTAAGGTAGGCTATTTGGCTAGTAGTTTAAGAAACAAATGCCTAAATGCCTAAATCATATCAATAGAGCATGTGAACAAGAAGCTTCAAAAAGAGTTAAGGCAAAACCTAGAGTAATCTAGCAATCATGAGCAAATTCACACAAGAAAGAAATTGGAATGGAGTGATGTATTCCATCCATCAATATAGGCTCAAATCTCACAAGGTTAAAATTCTATTATCAAAGAATCAAACTTTATTTTTTCAAATCAACTTACAAAACTAAAAATGCACAAATGATTTACACTTCATGATTTTCAACCAATCAACAAAAATGATGCAACTTTCTAAATCCATACATTTACAAATCCAAAGAAAAAAAAATAAGATTTTTTTTCATTCTATTTTCTATTTCAAAACAACAAAATAGCAAAACATCAAAAACAGAAAACAAAGACAGAAAATAAAATAGAAACAGAATACAGAAGAAAAAAAATAGAATACAGAAACAGAAATAGAAAGCAAAAAATAGAAACAGAAATGAATACAAAAACAGTACAGAATCAGAAACAGAAAGCAGAAAACAGAAATAGAAAAGAATACAACAATTTTTTTTTTAACAAACAACTCCCCCCCACACTTGAAACACACATTGTCCTTAATGAAACAAATAATTCAATCAATAAAGACAATTGCAAATTATAGAAAAGGGGTAGAACTCCCTCAAGGTCCAAGAGTTGGCTCTTCTAATGAAATGTCCTCCACATTTTTGTCCTCCAACTTTGGACTTTGATGAAATTCCTTAAGTTGATGTCCATTCACTTTGAAGGTTTTGCCAGTAACTTCATTTTTAATTTCTACTGCACCATGGGAAAACACATTAGTAATAACAAAAGGACCATCCCACCTTGATCTAAGTTTACCGGCAATGAGCTTTAGGCGAGAATTGAACAATAATACTTGTTGGCCCACTTTAAACTCCTTTCTCAAAAGATGACTATCATGAAAGCGCTTGACTTTCTCTTTATAAATCTTGGAGTTTTCATAGGCTTCCAACCGAAGCTCCTCAAGTTGCTGCAACTGAAGCTTCCTTTGCATACCAGCTTGGTCAAATGCCAAGTTACAATTCTTCACTGCCCAATATGCTCTATGCTCAACCTCAACAGGTAGATGACATGCTTTACCAAACACAATCCTATAAGGAGACATCCCAATAGGTGTCCGGTAAGCTGTCCTATGTGCCCACAGAGCATCCTCCAAAAGCTTGCTCCAATCCTTCCTATTGGGGTGCACTATTTTCTGCAAAATTTGCTTGATTTCCCTGTTAAAAACTTCAGCTTGCCCATTAGTTTGAGGATGATAAGCTGTAGACACTCTATGCACCACCCCATACTTATGAAGCAAAGCCTGCATGCTCCTATTACAGAAATGGCTCCCCCTATCACTGATGATGGCTTTAGGCACACCAAACCTGCAAAAAATATTGGATCTAACAAAATCCACAACAACTTTAGAATCATTAGTTTTGGTGGCCTTAGCCTCCACCCATTTTGAAACATAATCAACAGCTAGTAAAATATAAGTGTAACCAAAAGATGGAGGAAATGGACCCATAAAATCAATACCCCAAACATCAAAAACCTCACAGAAAATGATAGGATGTTGGGGCATCTCATGCCTGCGTGTAATGGCCATCCCTGCTCTCTCACACTGCTCACAGGTGCTGAATATCTGATGTGCATCTCTGAAAATGGTGGGCCAATAAAACCCACTGTCCAACACCTTCCTAGCTGTCCTGTATGAACCATAATGTCCTCCAACAGGTGAAGCATGACAAAATTGAAGCACAGACTGGATCTCATGATCTGGAATACACCTGCGGATCACCTGGTCACTGCAAAATCTCCACAAATAAGGGTCATCCCAAACATAATATTTAGCTTCACTTTTCAGTTTAGCTATCTGTGATCTAGATAAATCCGGGGGAAGAACACCTGCAACCAAATAATTTACAATGTCAGCAAACCAAGGAGCAGTATCATGTAAGTGCATCAACTGCTCATCAGGAAAATCATCTCTAATAGGCAGGGGATCAACACGCCCCCCCTCAATCCTGCTCAAATGGTCTGCTACCAAATTCTCTGCACCACTCCTATCTCTGATCTCAATATCAAATTCCTGAAGAAAAAGCATCCACCTGATCAATCTGGGTTTAGCATCAGGCTTCTTCAACAGGAATCTCAAAGCTGCATGGTCAGAAAACACAGTAATTTTGGAGCCAAGCAAATATGAACGAAATTTATCTAAAGCAAATACAATAGCTAGAAGCTCTTTCTCAGTGGTGGTGTAATTGACTTGAGATGCATCCAATGTGCGAGAGGCATAAGCAATGACATGCGAAAGCCTCCCAACTCGCTGAGCTAAAACAGCTCCAAGGGCAAAGTTGGATGCATCGCACATGAGCTCAAATGGAAGCTCCCAATCAGGCGGCTGTACAATAGGTGTGGTGGTAAGCCGCTTCCTCAACTCCTTAAAGGCTAGTTGACAAGGCTGGTCAAAAATGAACTCCACCTCTTTTTGTAGAAGCTTGGACAGTGGCAGTGCAATCTTGCTAAAGTCTTGGATGAACCTCCTGTAAAAACCTGCATGTCCAAGAAAAGAACGTACTTCCCGCACAGAAGCGGGGTAAGGTAAAGAAGCAATGATATCTATCTTAGCCTTATCAACCTCAATGCCTCTACTAGAGACTAAGTGACCCAAAACTATACCATGTGTGACCATAAAATGACATTTTTCAAAATTTAACACAAGGTTAGTTTGGATACACCTATCTAATACCCTAGATAGACTCTCTAAGCATGCATCAAATGAAGAACCATAAACTGTAAAATCATCCATAAACACCTCCATGCAACTCTCCAATAGATCAGAAAATATACTTACCATACACCTCTGAAAGGTGGCCGGAGCGTTGCATAGACCAAATGGCATCCTAGTGTAAGCAAATGTGCCAAATGGACAGGTGAATGTGGTCTTGTGTTGGTCCTCTGGTGTAATATGAATCTGCATATACCCTGAAAATCCATCCAAGAAGCAATAGTGTGGTTTACCTGCCAACCTCTTCAACACCTGATCAATGAATGGAAGAGGGAAGTGGTCCTTGCGAGTTGCCTGATTAAGTCTTCTATAGTCTACACAAACTCGCCAACTGTTTTGAACTCTGGTTGGAACCAACTCAGCATCCTGGTTCCTCACCACAGTCATCCCAGTCTTCTTGGGAACCACATGCACAGGACTAACCCACTTGCTATCAGAAATAGGATAAATTATACCTGCTGCCAATAACTTTGTGACCTTTTTCTTCACCACATCTAAAATAGTAGGATTGAGTCTTCTTTGTGGCTGCCTCACAGGTCAGAACTCATCCTCCAGTAGAATCTGGTGCATGCATATGGCAGGACTAATCCCAAGAAGGTCAGCAAAAATCCAACCAATGGCTTTCGTATGGTCTCTCAAAACCTGCAACAGTCTCTCCTCCTGATCAGATTCAAGAATGCTAGCTATAATGACAGGAAACCCTTGATTTTCCTCTAAATAAGCATACTTTAAATGTGCAGGTAAAGGCTTTAACTCTACTGATGGTGTCTGCACAGTGGATGGTACTGACAATGAAGAAGGTAGAGATGGAGATGATGTCTTAGATGCTGATGGTGAAACATATACTAATGTGGCTAAATCTGCTGTACCTGAAATAGCAACACTAATTTTTGCACAAATAGCACACATAGATGAATCATCATCACAAGTACATGATGGGTCAGTAAAATTAGAAAAATCAGCAAGTAGATCATCATCAAAATCTGTGCAATCATCAACTAATAAATCAATAACATCCAAACTAAAAACAGAATGGTCTTCTATTGGATGTCTCATAGCCTCAAAAATATTAAATTGCACCAGATTATCTCCAAACTCCATAGAAAGAGTCCCTGCATGCACATATATCTTTGTCCTTGCTGTCCTTAGGAATGGTCTCCCAAGGATCAATGTAGCATGACTGGATGACTCATCCTCCATCTCAAGAATGTAGAAGTATGCAGGGAAGAGAAGATCTTCTACTTTGACAAGCACATCCTCCACTACTCCAAGTGGCTGCACAATGCTCCTGTTTGCCAACTGAATGCTCACACCTTTAGGAATCAAGTCTCCAATCGGCTATGATCTAAAAACAGATGCAGGCATAACATTTATTGAAGCACCTAGATCCAGCATAGCATTAGTAAAAATTTCTTCTCCTATAGTACAAGGGTTAGTAAAAGTTCCTGGATCTTTGCACTTTTGTGGCAAATCAGGAAGTAGATCATGTGGAATAATGGCAGACACATTTTTCTTCTGGAGTAATGCAGAACCATTTCTTCCCATGTTCACTCTCTCATCACCCTTCAACTTCCTCTTATTAGTGCATAATTCCTTAAGGAACTTTGAATATTTTGGAATTTTTCGGATGGCATCAAGGAGAGGAATGTTGACTTCCACCTTGCTAAACATATCCAGCAGTTCAGTATCAATTTCTAATCTCTTCTTTGCTGGTCTATTTGGAAAGGGGAGTGGAATCTCTGATCTCCTCTTTGCTGCATCATTATTTTCAGCTGCACTTGCAAAGGAAGAATCACATTCCACTGGTGCTACAACTGATTGTTGCTGCACTGGTGGTAACTCTTTTCCACTTCTCAAGGTAATGGCACTCACATTCCCCTTTGGATTTAAAACTGTTTGGGAGGGAAGTTTGCCAGAACCTTGAGATTGAAACTGATTTACCTGAGATGCTAACTGGCCAATTTGAGTCTTTAAATCTTGGACAGTGGCATCCATATTTCTCTGAAATTGCAACTGTTGTTGTTGAAATTGTAAATTTTGTGTAGCCATCTGTTGCATCATCTCCTCGAATGAAGGTCCACTCTTTTGTGAAGGAGGAGGTGTAGGTGTAGGTGCTGGTGGTTATTGTTGTTGCTGCTTGAATGGAGGCTGATATTTCCCAGAAGGTTGGAATGAAGGTTGTTGTTGTTGCCCCCATTTCATATTTGGATGATCCTTCCAACCTGGGTTGTATGTTTGGGAGTATGGATTGTAATTTTGTTGCTGTTGTGGAAGCCTATATTGTTGTTGTTGGTTGGTGTAAATTCCAGAAACATTTGCATTTGTTTCTTGTAGAGTAGGACATGAATGTGTATAGTGCTCCTCTGAAGAACAAATGCCACAAACTGTTGCTGGACCTTCACTTGCTGCACTCGCCTGTTGTTTTTGTTCAATTTCTAAATGTCTCACCATGGTGGTCAGCTCATTAATTTTGTTTTCCAGCCTTTGATTATCCACACCACAAACAGAACTAGAACCAGCACCAATTGCCATCTCATTTACTCCCTTGACAGTTCCTCTAAATCCAAATTGTTGAGTGTTGGCTGCCATGTTCGAAATGAGTTGCCTTGCAGCATTTGGTGTCTTATCCATCAATGCTCCCCCACTTGCTGCATCTATCATGTTCCTATTCATCAAGGTTAGTCCTTCATAAAAATATTGAATCAATAATTGCTCACTAATCTGTTGTTGAGGACATGTAGCACACAACTTATTGAATCTCTCCCAGTACTCATACAAAGTCTCTCCATTCAGTTGCCTTATACCACAAATCTCTTTCCTAATTGTTGTTGTTTTGGATGCAGGAAAGAATTTCTCTAGGAACAACCTCTTCATTTGATTCCATGTAGTGATTGTTGCTGGTAGAAAGTAGAGCCAATCTTTTGCAACATCATCCAAAGAGAAAGGAAATGCCTTCATTTTGACATGATCTTCAGGAACTCCTTGAGGTCTCATGGTGGAACAACCTACATGGAACTCATTTAAATGCTTATGAGGATCCTCACCTGCAAGTCCATGAAACTTGGGCAATAAATGGATAAGTCCAGATTTAAGCTCATAATTTGTTTGATTATCAGGATATTGGACACACCATGGTTGATACACAACATTAGGTGTAACCAATTCCTTCAAAGTGAGTTCACGATTATTAGCCATGATATCAAATTTAGAATCAGTTTCAGAAGAAGAGCAAGATTGAAAATTAAAAGTATCACTATTTGAGCATGATTGAAAATTAAAAGTAGAATTAATAACTACTTCAAAATTAACTATACTACTATTATTATTCTGACTAGACCTAGACCTTAACCTATGATAAAGTGTTCTTTCTATCTTAGGATCAAAATCATGTAATGTACCAGGGTTGGACCTAGTCATGCAAGTAAGAACACATACAAGGTTATGAAGTCAAAAGTCAACAAAAAAGTCAAAAGTCAACAAAAAAGTCAATATTTACTATATAAGCAACTGTAACATGCAAAACTATATGAAATGAATTTTAAAAAATATTTCACCACTAGAACATCATTTCATACATGATTTCCTAATTTTGAGAATTTTTTGGTGATTTTTAAAAATATCAAAAACAGTAAAAAATTGAAAAAGTGGTCTAAATGAAGGAATTTGGCAAAAAAGACCCCCAATTTTCAGCCCAATCTGACAACTTTCGCAAAAAAGACCAAAATACCCCTACAAAAAATTATACAGAACTAATAGAAGATGAAGGCATTTCGTGATTTTAAGCTCAGTATACCCCCTTTAGGGGGTAAGTTTGCTCAGAATCACGTTTTACCTTTGGAGAACAAGTTTCAGCTCAATTAGAGAACCTTTGAAAATTTTCGGAATGGTTTCATGGAGAGCCAAAGCCAACTTCTTCAGGAAATGATTTCTACTAGTCCTCTATTTTCGGAATGTATTTTCCTCTATTTTTCCTCTGTTTCCTTTCCCTATTTTTCCAGCTAAAATACAGCACAAAGAAACCGCAAAGAAACCACACAAGATTGCTACAAAAACACTACAAATTACCTAAACAATACAATTCAAGACAAACACAATAGTACCGAAACTAAACTACAAAAACAACAATGAATTTAGTGACAGAATCAGAGATAGAATTGAATTACAAAATACTACACTATAAATTCGAAAACATTTCTACAAACAGTTAGTATACATGATAAAAATCAAAACAAAATGACTTATGTCCCTGGCAACGGCGCCATTTTGATAGCTTAGTCGTATCACTATCAAACAATCTCAACAAATTTTTTTAATATAGAGAACTTAACCTAGGTCATCTCTCAAGGACACAAGCACATTGTATTTTGAATTTAATCATGTATGTAAATCAGTTTAGAACTCAGGGGGGGGAATTTTCAAACAAACAATTAGAACAAAGTATCAGGAAAGCAAAGAAATCAAATCAACACAAAATTTCAGTAGTATAGAAATTCGGTTCAAGGTTTCAATTCCTACGGTACAATCATCATTGTTCACAACAAATACGAATTCTCAATCCATCTAATTCAATCCGAAAATAATCCAAAGAGTAATCTAAATCTAGATTGTGAATTTTATTTAAACAGAAACTACAATCGCACATTCCAAATTTCAACAAAATTCAAGAAAAGTAACCGATTGAATTAGGGATTTAGGTTATTTCTAATCAGAAAATACTTCTTCTCATTTTCATTTAGGAATCAAAACAGAGATTCAATATCATGAAAAACCGAATTTAAACTAAACAGAAAAGAGTAGAAGAAAAAAAAGAAAGAATTCGTTCAGTAAAAATTAGAAACTCAAATTTACCGTAGTTCTTGAAACCTTAAACCGATTAAAGAATTAGCCTTGCCTCATTATCATGTTGCAGCAAATTCCAATTGAGAGAAGAAATTCCGTGAGAGAGAAAAAGATTCGTGTAAGAGAAAGTGAGAGAGAAGAAGATGAAAAGTTTCTAAAGAGAGAAGAGAGAATTTTGAGAGAAACTTCTTGAGGAAGTAATCTCAAATCTGAAAATCTAAAAAATGAATTTTCCAGGCCACAACTCCTGAGTCATTACATGGTTTTAAAGACAAAATAATGGGCCTAAAACCAAAGGTCCAATCCATTAATTACAATTCAAAAGCCTAATTAACTAAACTAAACAGTTTCATGACAAGCTGAACAATTCAGTGCAGAGCCGCGACTTTAAAGAACGAGTTTGTGTCTGAAAATATCCAAACTGGGTTTTTCGTCCAACATGTGAATTGTAGATCTCTGTCTTATCTTTACAGGGACCCCAAGTTTGCCAAATTCTGAGTTGAATAGCGCCAGATATGGCCTGCACAAGAAACAGTGTCAAAACAGGAAATTCATACGGAAAATTAGTAAAATTTATAACTAATTCCTAAATGATTCACTAATACAAATCTGAACTAAAACATGAATAAAGGATACTAAAAGGAATCAAATAAGGTAAAAGCACATAAAGAAAGATATACTAAAATATGACTATCAGCATCTTAACAACTTTACAGCAATAGGCATCTAAACAACTTTACAGCAATAAGCATCTAAACAACTTTACAACAATAAGCAACTTAACAACTTTACAACGATAAGCAACTTAACAACTTTTCAGAAATAAACAACTTTACAACAATAAGCAACTTAACAACTTTACAGCAATAAACAACTTAACAACTTTACAATAATAAGCAACTTAACAACTTTACAGCAATAGGCATCTTAACAACTTTACAACAATAGGCATCTTAACAATTTTACAGCAATAGACAACTTATGCAACTCTACAACGATAGGCAACTTAACAACTTTACAATAATAAATAATTATAGTCATCAATCTCAACTTTAACAACTTTAAACAACATAGCAACTTTCCACATACATTCTAATACAACTTTACAACTTATAAACTTCTTCAACTTATACCTCTCAACTTATTAATAATTCAACAATAAACATGTAAACAACTTCACAACTTAACTACAAAATGCATCTCATTTACATCTCATCTTCATCACAAAAGCATCACCAAAAAAATCTACAATCTAGCTTCCCTTACCTGAAGATTGGCTCGAAAAGCCAAGAATCTGAGAAGAAGAAGAAGAAATATCCTCCAAAGACCCGGAACTTCAATCCATTCAAAGCAAGCTTCCTAGTCCAGAGTTCTTCTCTCTAAAACTTCTTTCTAAGAACCTCCATTTCTCTCAACCACCCAACTCTATTTATAGACATTCAGGAGTTGCCAAACAGCCTGTACCGAATCCAGAACGACCCGTTCTGTACCCCTTCATCATGTGTAAAAATCACATGCAGAATGACCCGTTTTGAAACCAGAACGACCCATTCTAGGATTCATCCAGAATGGCCCATTCTCCATCTAGAATGGCCCGTACTCCCCTCCAGAACGCCCCGTACTCCCTCCAGAACGGCCCGTACTCCATCCAGAACGGCCCGTTCTCAACTACATTTTATAGGTCAATTCAGTAGTTTGGAACGGCCCGTTCCAGTTTGGGAATGGCCCGTTCTGGGCTACTAAATCACCCATACTGGGCTTTTGGGCCTTCTAAAATAACTTGCTATGTTATAATACCCCCCAACAAATAGGAATTTTCGTCCCCGAAAATAGACTTACTTGGAAATAAAGAAGGATACTGCTCTCTACACAGTTGCTCAATCTCCCAAGTAATCTCAACAGTAGTTGCATCCCACAAGATCTTCACCAATCTAGTGGACTTTCCCCTCAACTCCTTCAACTTATAATCAATCACAACTACCGGTCTCTTCTCATAAGTCAGGTTCTCCTTGACCTGAATCTAACACATCTCAACTACATGACTCGGGTCATGGACATACTTCCTCAACTGTGAAACGTGAAACACATGTTCCCCCTCAGCAAACTCCAAAGGCTTTCACCTTTTTTTAGCATATGACTTCTATCTACTCTGGGCAGTTTTCATACTCTCTTGAATCAACTTTACTTTCTCAGTAGTCTGTAGGACTAACTCTGGCCCCACAACCACTAATTCACTATCTTGGTACCAACACAGAGGAGTCCTACACCTCTTACCATACAGGGCTTCAAACGGTTCAATCCTGATACTAGCATGAAAGCTACTGTTATACATGAACTCTACTAGTAATAAGACTTCCTCCCAACTTTCAAAGTGGTCTAACACTCAAGATCTCAGCAAAACCTCCAAGGACTGAATTTTCCTCTCTGACTGACCATCCGTCTATGGTTGATAAGCAGAACTCAACCTCAACCTCATACCCAAGACTTGGTGTAGACTCTGCCAAAAATCTAGAAGTTGACCTTGGATCCCTATATGAAATAATACAAGAAGGCACCCCGTGCAACCGTACTATTTCTTTCACATACAACTATGTCAACTTCTCCCAGGACCACTTGATATTAACAGGCAAGAAAAGCGCACAGTTGGCCAATCTGTCAACCACAACTCAAATGGCATCACTATTCCTAGTCGACTTAGGCAACCCATCATTGAAATCCATAGTGATACTACCCAACTTCCACTACCGGATCTCCATCATCAACAACAAACCACCAGACTTCTGGTGCTCAACCTTAGACCTTTGACAGATCAGACAGGCCGCCATATATTTAAAAATGTCTCTCTATACTTAGAATCTTAAGGTAGGAAAATTCTACCCTTAAACCTCAAGTCCCATCTTCACTCATCTCAAAGCTAGCTGCTTTCTCTGTATCTAACAAATTAAGAACCTTCACAACTTCCGAATCGTACAACTACTTCATACCAACTTGCTACAAGAATTCACTAGCAATGGTAATCATGCCACAACTAATTTGGTCTTGAGCCAATTCCACATACAGATTCAAATCTCTAAATTTCTTAACCAACTCCAACTCCTTCACCATCAAACTAGACATGTGGATGGACTTCCTACTCAAAGCGTCTTCCACTACATTGGCCTTCCCAGGGTGATACGTCAACTGAAATTCATAATCTTTTAAAGCATTCCATCCACTGTCTTTGTCTCATGTTCAACTCCTTCTAATCAAGAAAATACTTCAGACTTCTTATAATCACCAAAGACGTTAAATCCTGTACTATGAAAATAGTGCATCCATACTTTTAAGGTAAAACAACTGCTGCCAACTATAAGGCA